AGTCAGTCTGTCTGTCTGTCCTATCTATCTATCTATCTATCTATCTATCTATCTATCTATCTATCTATCTATCTATCTATCTATCTATCTATCGTTAAACTATAGAGTTATTCCAAGACACAGATAGCAATTTTAGGGATTCCCTATAACAGAACAATACCAAGTTGAGCAAATCAGAAGATGATACCGTTTTGCTCCTGTTTGAGAGCACTCTGATGTAAAGAGGTGCCCATGTGATGGTTTTGACGTGGATGTAAAGAGATTCCCACATCCAAGTACTGAAACTGTCTGGAAGCCACAAAGACAAGTTATCAGAGACAAATGAAGATTGTAACCAGCACACGTATTCAAATAATTCAAAATCCTCATTGCAGATTCTTGGGTAAAAACACTGTCTGTCCCTTAGAGACAAAAATTCTCTTCAGCCAACAGTTCCTTGCTTGGTTTTCCCTGGTATTCCCTGCCTCTTGTAGGGACATGAGCACCACATGCTCTGGGGAGGTGAGGTAGTTGCAGTGATTTAACAGATTTGTCTCACACCTTTCCATGGACTGTGTTAATTGCAGCTTGGAACCGGCTGTAATAATAAAATTGATGCATCCAAGCAGCCTTGGTCTCCTAGCCAATCCCAGAATCCGGATTCCGTTTCCTGTGGGTTGTGCCGTCCCAAGCAATGGTCACTGTCTGAAGTTGCTCCTTCCCTAATTACTGGGCGAGGCTGGAGATGGTCCTCTTGCTATGATGATCTTCCTTCAATCAAGCAGGCATAGCTTCCAGAGGGCTTCCCCTTAGGGAAATTAATATTGTCTCACCTTCCAAGATCAGTGAGGGATTCTGCAGGATGCCTTTTTCACACTTTGGAGCCCTGTCCACATCCTAGACTTGATCGTGCCTAGGAACCAATTCAGCCTCTCCCAATAATTGAAATCTACTGGCTGTTACCAGCAGGCACAATGCAGCTTGGGACTGTCATTGTCCTCCTATCTCTTCTCCATCCACGGTTCCACCAGAGGCTCCTTCTGATGTACAACAGGAGCAAAGAGAATGCACACTTAGAGATCGGGGAGTGTTCTGGTTGTAATTCCTCGCTCGGTGCTCTGATGCTCAACTCCTCGCTTCTCTGGCCTCTGCCAACTCCCCCCATCAACCAGTCTTGCTGAAGAAATCTCTCTCGGACAGGGAGGGGCACCAGGAGCTAGGGTTGGGCCTTTAGCTGTCTCCCTTCACGAACACTGGGTGGTTAAAAGTACACTCAAAAAAAAAAATGCAGCCGCTGGAGAATTTAGGCATTCAGGTTAATCCCCCAAATCTGTATTCACATCCTATGCATGAGAGGTTTTTTTTTTTTTTAATCTTTTGTCTTCTCCTTCTTTAATATGGAAAGTAAATTATCTCTGGGAAGCTTAAAAGACTTTATCTGTATCTCTCCCTCTCACCCCCCTCCCAAATCTGGCTTCTGAGAACAAAGCAGTCTTTTCATCAGACCTTTTATAGTGGTTATATGTGAAAATTCTCTTTCAACATTATTACTTCTGAGGAAACAGCAAAAGTAATATTAACACTGTCAGTCCTTCACCTACACCTTGCCTCCCATAAATCACGTTAGCCGTATTTTGTGATCCCCAGTAGCCAGGGGCCGCTTCAGCATTTGATAGCGTTGGCCGTGCTGCAGAGGCAGCGTTTGCAGAGTAACAGGTTGTTCTTGGCCCAGGAGGATGAAAAGCTGTTTTGTTTTGGTTTTTTTTGTTTGTTTGCTGGAAGTTAAAGGAACATTTTGAACGGGAATAAATAATAACTTTTTCTTCCAGCTGGCAAGCAGCAACGCCAGTAAATCCTAAATGTCATTTATGGATTTAGAAAATGGGTGGTTTTAGGGACCTGATCAGAAAGCCATGTTCTTGTCATGGTTTACGAGCCACTTACTCGATTCTCAGTACCCTCCTCTTGATGTTCTTCAGAGCCCCATAGAGCAGTAAAGCACTGTCTGACCTGAACGAGGGTCCTGGGAATCAAACAAAGTGAGTGCTTTTAAATGTAGATTAGATTGAACTTTAGCCTCATCCAGCAGGGCGTATTCTTATATTTTCATAATTAAGCATTCAAACTCCAAAAGTAGCCTCTCGAGGTTCAAAGGAGACACATTATTTCTGCAATGTAACACAGTTGTATAAATCACCTCATGATTCAGGTAACTGAGTTTTCATGAGGATTTAGCTTGAGGATCATGTTCAGCTCCTGGAAAGCGTACTTAATCCCACTTTGATGACAAATGTTGCAGGTTAAAATGAGCATCCTGACTCCAAAAACCACAATATGTAAATCTCAAGGATGCAACAAGTTAAAGGCTGCCAAGATAGTAAAGACTCTTAGTTCCTAACATGGTGCTGAGGAGTTCCTTTGAGCCTGTAGACACCTCCTTTGCATCCAATAAGTTCCCTGCCCTTGGAGCTTTTTACATTTTTAAAACATTATTTTAAAATTAAACTTTCTTATCCTTTTATATGTATGTCTATCTTTTAACCATGAGGGATTTTTTTTAAATTAAAAAAAAAAAAGATGGCTAATGGTAGTCTAGTGTTTTATTTGGAAATGTATTCACCTGCCTAGAAAAAAAGGACAAAGTTGCCCACTTAGCCCCCCAAACAGAGGAACCTTGTTTTTTATTGGGCCAGGAGACAAAGCCCTCATCTATCTAAACTTATAAGAAGCACTTTCATAACTGTTGACAGAAAACAGTATCAAGATATTTTAATAACCCACCTGTCCTTGAGGGGGTATCAGTTCAATCATTCTTAAGAAAGAAGTAAGATTGGGGCAGTTTCTACAAGGAAGACCATGCCCTAATTCCCTTTTGCCCGCTTAAGAAAAATGTGTCAGAAATGGAAAAAATAGGGTAGAGAAGGAAGATCTTCTGTTGGGTTGGGGCTGGAAACCTTCCTTGGCCTTGGGTGATATTCCTTGCATGCTGATTTACCATATAGTTACTTCTTCTTCCTAAAGTACCTAGGGATAGCAGAGATGGGGAGAGGAAAGCTTCCTATCTGTGTTTTCTTCTTCCCTCCTCTAGGTTAAAGATTGAGGAACTGGAATCTGAACGAAGCCGGTTAGAAGAAGGGAACAGATCCCTGGAAGCAAAGCTGGAACAGATTACTCTTCAGGTAATGCCTTAAGGTGCTTGATCTGGTTTGATGACATGGACTGGGAGGTTTTGTCCAGAGCTGATGCTCTTGCTGGGTCCTCCTGAGATTAATGTTCAAGAAGCTGAGTCTATCTCATGCTATCTGCTTTTTTATTACAACAGCACACTGGACATCTCTTAGGAAATTGAATGTTCCAAAGATTTGGAATATTTTCTATTGTTTCTATAAACGAATGCTCTTGTGTTCAGATGCCTGTAACCTGTTTCTAATGTCTAAGACAGAATTGAATTGACTGAGGCCATCCATGTATGCCACCATGAGCAGCATCCTATTATTTCTTTCAGAATCTATCTTCGTCAGGCTGAAGCCTTAATTGTGGGGTGAGCTAGTTTCTGCCTTATGACCAATACCAAAATTTTAAAAAGTGGAACTGTGGGCTGCTTCTTGCAAGAAAATTTGTTCTATCTACTATCTATCTATCTATCTATCTATCTATCTATCTATCTATCTATCTATCTATCTATCTATCTATCTATCTATGGATGATCACACAACATGCTTTGTAAGTAAGATACAAATTCATAAGTCAGATACAAAGCAAGTGGGTACATTCACGTAATTTACTAAGTTTAGTTAGTTTTAGCCTTGGTTAGTTTTTTTGTGGCATAATATGCTATGTGAACTCAGACCAGTTGGTTAGTTTATGACGCAATGTATTGTACAAACCCAGAATGTGGGTTGATGCAGTACACAGGTTAAGCATGTTGGGTGAACCCAATTTGGAGCACAGAAACCACATGTGCCTTTTTCCTCCTACATACCAGAATATTTTTGAACAAAGTTGTCAGATCTTTCCTGATTACCACGTGAAAATATATAGGACATGCCTACACCTTTCATACTTTATACATTAATACTCATCTACTCCATGACATTTTTTAAAACATTCATTTGTTAAAAAGCATATATCTATATAATAGATTTATCTCCCTACACAATACCAGCCAATCTGGAATATCAGAGGCTGACGCTGGCATCACAC